ACCTTGAAAAACACATAAAAAATTTATGTGTTATGATATGAATCAATAGTGTGGTAGGGAGACCATAAAGTTAACATGGTCTTAAGTTAAATGAACAAAAATATAATGTAAGCCACAAAGAGTGTTCTGCTTTGGTTAGACAATATCTGGAGTATTGTGTTTACCCGTGGATTATAGGGAGAACAATGGCAATGTAGAATATATATAGAAAAGTGTGACCAGAGTGATGAGAAGATTTGAAAACCTGGAGAAGACTTGGGGGCAGGAGGAGAGATGATCATGCCTTCAAATATCTGAGGGGATGAAAACTGATTAGATTTATTCTTTCTACCTTCTAAAGTTAGAATTACAGGAATTCCACAAAGGAAAATTATTTTTAAAAACTAAATCTTTCCAAAAGTGTTTCCACTTTTGATTCCCAAAAGAGCTTCCTAAGGAGGTAACGAATTTCCCATTACTGTAATTTTTGAGTGGAACTTAGATAACCACTTTCTTGGAGATTCACACTCCTAATAAGAGTTAAATGAGTTGAACTCTGAAGCATCTTCAAATGAGAAAAGCGATTGATTGTAAGAAAATATGAAACCATATTGCTAATCATTTTTCTGTACGGGCTAGAGCAGATTGCAAAACCAGTCCTTGGTTATCCATAATTAATAGTAATTCACATTTATATGTGCTTTAAGGTATGAAAAGTGCTTGGGATAAGTTTCTCATTTGAACCTCACAAATAAAAGTGAAAATTGAGGCTTAGTCAAGTTAAGTGACATGTCCAGAGTCACATAGCAAGTAAGTGCCTCTGTGATTAGGATTCAATCTCAGGTCATATTGATTCCAAGTCCAGTGCTCTATCTGTTGCAACACCTAATTGCCTTGCTCCATGTTAATAAAAGAGATGGAATAGAGCTATGACAAACAAAACCCAAAAATCATATATTAACTTTTGAATATATTTTCTCTTCATATTTAGATGTCAATATTTATCATATTCCTTCATATTGCTTCAAATCTGACCAGCATTTCTAAAATTCTGTATTGTTCCCTAGCCCATAAAAGAGATAGTGCTGCTTATGATGATAAAAAGGGTAACCTGAAATGAATCTGTGTATTTTAGAAATCAGTTTTCCTGGTCCATAAGAGGTAATGAAGGGAAACTCACCTGTTGGGTTGCACATCCTAAAGAGGTAAAAAATGTAAAGTGATATCAAACTGCTACAGCATGGGGCTTAATCATCTAGTCAGATGATTAAGCAATGTAGTATAATGGACAGAATATTAGATTTAAAGTTAGAAAATCCCTAGTTCCAAACTAACCTGATATTTAAGACACTGTGTAATCATAGGTAAGTCACTAAACTATTTGATTTTTGGTTTATCATCTATAAAATGGGTGTCATAATAGCTGTTATACCTACCTTACACTATAACTGTAACACTTTGAAAATTTTGAAGCACTACATAAATGTTAGTTATGATGATAATCATATCACAAAGAAAATAAAAGCAAAATGTCTTGGTGGTGATTTACCTAAAAACATCTATAATGATGTTTTTGCTCTAATAGTATACTTTTGTTTCTACACTGTAAGATCAAGTGCTATATACTATTTAAGCTTCTTTTACAGTGCTATGATGCCTATAACAATGCTCCTTACATGAGAGTTTGCAATAATAACAGTTTTATCAATAAAGGACTTTGAAGATTTGCAAAACACTTTATATATTTCAGCCTACTTGATACAGGATTCCTGTGGTGTAGGTACTACAAATATATACTCATTTTATTAATGTAAAAACTGAGGCTCAAAGAGGTTAAGTGACTTGTCTAGGGATATATGTATAATGCTAGAATTAGAACTCAGGTCATCTGACTCAAAGTCCAGTGTTCTTTATACAATATCAAACTGCCTGTAGTCATGAAAGTGCCACACTGGCTATTGAGCTTGGATTCCGTAAGACCAAAGTTCAAATCCTGCATTCAACACTTAATATATGTGACTCTTAGCAAGTTGTAAATGCCCAGCCTTGGTTTCCTCATCTATATGATAGTAATTATAATAGACCATACCTCATAGAGTTGTTGTGAGGATGAAATGAGAAAGAAATTTTATATCTATACATATAGACATATGTATATGTATATATATATACATATATGTATTGTATTTTCCAAACCTCAGAGAACTGTGTAAATGCTAACTATTATTACGCTACCCATGTGACTTAATTGAAGAGAAGAACTCAGTGAATCAGACATTTATATCTGGAAGGGACCTTGGAGGCCATTATATGCAATCTTTTCATCTTACCAATAAGGAAACTAAGGCACAAAGAGATTAAGTGGCCTGGATGTGGTCACATAGCAAAAGGAAAAGATTTGAAGCTATGTCTTCCTAACTCTATATCCAACACCCTATCCATTTTACCACACTGCCTATCCAAGCCTTGGCTTCCTTGTCTATCAAATGGAAATATAAATACTTGTAATATCTACCTCACAGAATAACTGTGGGAAAGGTATCTTACAAACAACAATATGTTGGATTAAGGTATTATAAATAACTCTTAAAGTGTTATTGAATTCCAGGAGCTAATTTTATCAATATCTAAGTGTTTTTAATTTTGGTTACTTGTCTATAGGAAAACACACCCACTTACATAACATTTATACCCATCTTTTAATTCTTCAACCACATTTTCATTCATTCACTAAACAACACAGGTGGTGGGAGAGTAGGAGGTGAAAAGGAGGAGAGTTCTAGACTTGGGCTTTGATTTCATTGTAATGTTGTTGTTCAGTCATTTCAGTCGTGTCCAACTCTGCGCTTCCCCATTTGGGGTTTTCTTGGCAAAGGTACAGGAGTGGTTTGCCATTTCCTTCTCCATCTCATTTTACAGATCAGGAACTGAGGCAAATAGGGTTAAGTGACTTGCCCAGGGTTACACAGTTATTAAGTGTCTGGGGTCAGATTTGAATTCAGGTCTTCCTGACTCCAGAGCCAATGCTCTGTCCACTGCACCACCCAGCTGCTCCTTTCTTTGGTATAGGGAATTCCTGTGAGGAAATTCCCATCAAAGCAATTCGGTAACTGTTCTACAACTTATAGTCTCAGGTAGATGTGAATGGAATACAAAGAGGTCAAAAGATCTGTGAATAGTCACACAGCTATTAAGTGTCTGATGCAGGACTTGAAACTGTCTTTCTGTCTCTGAAAGTCATGCTCTATCCATTACATCCCTCTTGCCTCTCTCATACAACAAACACATGTTCATTTATTCACTCATTTACTCTACAAATATTTATTATATGCTTACTAATTGCAAAATACTCTTCTAAGTACTGAGACAGATAAAAATACAACATAGATATAAAATATCTCTTTTTCAGAAGCTTACAGTAGGGTAAGAGGATAAGACATACAAATAATATCAAAGTGAATGTAATAAATGTATATGAAAAGTACAGAGAGCTTTGAGAATTCAAATAAGTGAAAGATGAGAAGAATCACGAAAAGCTTTGTGGAAGACATGGCATTTGCACTGGATCTTGAAGAATGGGCAGGATTTCAACAATAACAGATGGGGTGAGGGATTGTATGTGTAAAGAATTGTGTGAGCAAAGGGGCAGAGAAAGAATGAGATGCCTTCACAGATTAGCAAAACTATTTGGCTGCAAGCACTTTGAAATAAAATATTATAATATCCTTTCTCTATGTGAAAAATTAGAGTCTTACGAGATGTTAACAAATTTGCTCAAATTTAAGAAATCACAAGGAAGATGAGAATTAGAGTGTAGTAGTTTTCATATTCTTGTGATTCTTGTGACAACTACTATACCCCAAATTATGGCTAATTTTGCGTGATAAAGCCAATAATGAGACTTAATATAAATCCTGACAATAATTAAACGTTTACTATAGCTAAATGTTAACAAATTGATACGATATTTCTATTGTATGTAATATGCCATTAAGCAAAATGTTTCATGCCACCTTACTAGTATATTAGAATATTTCTAAAACCTTGACCAGAAAAAGTCCCAGTTATTTTTTCACATAATTCTATTAAAATTATACTTACATAAAAAAGTATCCTCTAAATTAAGAATGTGGAAGTATATCTCATTTTTGTTTAAATTAACAAGAAGGATCTCATAAGCAAATTCACTATCTTTTAATTAAAGACCAATACTGTGAGTAAATGATGATTTTTCTGCTTTCCTAATAATATTTTATTGGATTTAATTAATGAGGCATGATGAGGTTGGAAGATATGTATGTGTACACATACATATATATATACATATATGATAGATACATACATATATAAGTATATGCATAGGGTATCTCAAAAGTCATAGTACAGTTTTAAGTTTTAATAATTTTTGAAGTACAAAAGCTAGAAACTTATAAACATCAAAATTTGAAAGGTTAATTAAATTTTAAAAAATATATCGACATATTTCTTATTAAATTCAATATAACCACATCAGCCCAGTCAATTTTCAGACTTTCTATAACTTTTACCAGCTGATGGCCTCAGCGACTGAAGGTCTAAATTATCCAAAGAATGATATTTTTATGTGTTATTGAGAGTTTTGACATTACCCCACAAGAAAAATTCTAATAGAGACAGATGAGGTGGACCAAAGTAGTCAAGCAAAAGGACCTCCTCTCTGATCAAAAAAACTGTCAGCCAGAAACAGTTGCATAAGGAGTGCATAAGGGAAGGGTGGCCTGTCTTGTTGAAATGAAAATTTTTAAAAAATTATTTAAAAAATTTAAGTAAACTTTCAAATTATATTTTGTTTGTGGCATTTATAATTTTACAGTTTTTGAGGCTTAAAACTGTATTAAGACTTTTCGGTCACCTTGTATATAAGAAATTTTGTTTTGAATATGAAAAATTATAAGTTTAGGTTTAAAACATTTTTCAATATGAAGTAACTAGTTGAACAAAGTATTTTTACATTGTATTTAATGTTATTTTATTATATTTACCTTTCTCTCTCTGGAGAATAATGGTCATCAAGGACACGATGTCTGTCCATTCGGCTGATAGTATTATAATGTCCACTAGAAGGTCGTGTCCCTCGAAGACCCTGTTCCACAGTTCGACTGAAAGAGACAAAAAGCCCATCAATTACCTTCTGTATTTGTGAACCATATCCATAAATTACATTGTAAAATTTTCTTTTGTAGTAGAGAAATTGGGGAAACAACAACAACAAATATAATCTTGTTGCTGTTTGTCTGTTGTTCTCAAAGAGTACCATGACATCAGGAAGTCAACAAACAAAAAAAGGAAGTAAAACAAACAAACAAAAAAAAATACACCAATGCTAACATGTAGAACCTAATAGATAAGCATCACTTTACAAATTAATGAGTTGTTTATGTGTGTGCATATGTGATGTATACATGTGTATTTATAATGTATCTGAAATATCATAATGGATTTTATGCATGTAAGAGGCAGCACGGTATAGCAGATATAGAGCTGGCCTAAGAGCCAATAAGATCTGAGTTTGAGTTCCATATCTGATACACATTGGCTCTGATATGCCAAGCAAGTCAGTTAAACTCTTACTGCCCTCAGAAACTCTCTAAAACTATAAACTGAAGAGAAGGTGTTGACTCTTACTTGCAGACAGAGTTTCCTCAACAGAGAGTCCCTTACATCAAAGAAATCACATGTCCAGTCCTTATTTTTATCCATAATGTATAGAATATATGTAAACATACATATATATAATATTCCAAATAATTATCTAAAATATTTACCTTAAAGGACTAAAGGCATACTAGCTATTAATAATTCTCATAAAATATACATAGATAATATGTAAACAAAATATATAATACAGCTATACAAACACAACTCATAGAGTTGTGATTAAAGTAGTTTGTAATCCTGAGTATAAGCTATTATTATTTGTGTGTCTGAATATACCCTCTAAAATCTCATTTAGCTCCTTATGGCATGGAGTTGATGATGGGTATTTAGGACTCTGCCAAAGAAAGAAGAACAACTTGGATGCAGTTTAGTAATAATGTCTGTTGCAAAATTTGGTAAAATGTGTGTTGTCTAAGTATCAGCAACTAAAAATATCCAAGAATAGCATAGCCAAAATCCTAAGTTTCCAGGTAAAGAAAAAAAAAATAGTGTAATCAGGCAGAGTTCAAGTACAAAGAATCACAGTCAGAATCATGCAAGTCTATACTGAAAATAGTGAAGAAGTCAACAAGTATCTAGTGCCTACTATGTGTCGGGCACTGTGCTATGCACTGGGGATATATAGGCAAAAATCAGTCCCTATTCTCAAGGAGCTCACAGTCTAATAAGGGAGATAACAAGCAAACAACTATGTACAAACAAGATGTGCAGAGGATTCACTAGAGAAAATCTGAGAGGGAAAGCACTAAGATTTAGAAAGACCAGAAAGGCTTCTTATAGAAGGAAAGACTTAGTTGAGAATGACAGAGGCAAAGGAAGCCAGGAGGCAGGGATGAGAAGGAAGAGAGTTCCAGGAATGGGAGACAGCCAGTGAAAATACCCAAAGTTGGTGTGTCTTGTGCTAGGAAGAACAAGGAGGCCAGTGTCATTGGATTGTAGAATATGGGAAGGGGTATACAGTTTAAGAAGACTAGAAAGGTAGGAAGGGTCCAGGTTATAAAGGACTTTAAAAGTCAAACAGAGAGGTGAAAGTAAGAGAGTCCCTGGAGTTCATTAAATAGAAGTAAGCATGGTCAGACCTGTACTTTAGGGAGATCAATTTTACAGCTAAAGAGGGAGAGACTTGAAGTAGGGAGACCTACCAGGCAGGTTATTCCAAGTCCAAGCATGGAAGTTAATGAGCCAGGATGGTGACAATATTAGAGGAGAAAGGGTAGCATATACAAAAGATGTTAGGAAGGTAGAGATGACAGGACTTTGCAAATGATTATATGTGGGTTGTAATAGAAATCCCATAAAATAGAGGAAATATTGAAAAAGAAAAAACACTTAAAAACAAGAATAATTAATCTTGCAAAACTGAGTATAATCTCATTAGGGGGAAAATGGATATTTAATAGAAGAAAGAGATCTTTCAAGCATTCCTAACATAGAGTGCAGAATTGAGTATAATCTTTGAAATACAAATGGGTATGGAGGAAGGAGGGAATGGCAATTATTTATTAAGCATAGGCACTGTGCCAAGAATTTTACAAATATTACTGCATTTGATCAAATTGCAAAGCCAAGAAATAAGAGAAACCTATAAAATTAAATGCATTTGAGTATTTGTAGGGCTTAAAAGATGAAGTATTACATTCTAATAGAGACAGAAAAGACAAATTCCCATGTACAATTCTACAGTTTCCTTGGGAAAGAAAACTCAATCTGAATGTGGCTTTGTTCTGTTATATGTATGTGTGTATGTGTACGTACATACATATATGCATATGTATATATGTGTATACACATATAAACACATATATATTCATTTGAATCTTTTATTTTTCCACTGCAAAAATTTCTCCCAGTACCATTTCCTTCTCCCCATCTAAGAGCTATAAAAAAAAAGTGAAGAGAAAAAACAAAATAAATTGAACTGATCCATACTTCAAAAAAAGGCTGAAAACATATTCAGTGTTCATACAAGTAGACTGTCCACCTTGGCAAAGGAATCAAGAGATATGTCTTTCATTTATCTTCTTGGTGCCATTCTTATTCTTTGTAATTTTGCACAATTCATTTTTTTATTTTTTTGAAGTTATTACTTCCATTTACATTGTTGGAATCATTACGTATATTGGGTTTTTGGCTCTGTTTACTATAAACTCTATATCAGTTTATATAAATTTTTCCATGATTCTTTGTATTTATCATATTCATTGTTTCTTACAGCACAGTAATATTCCATTACATCATGTACCAAAATTAATTTATATTCCTCAATTAAAATTCTCTTTTGTTTCCAGATATGTACTACAAAAAGTGATTTTACATATATCTATATATACACACATGTGTATTATTCAACATGTTGTTGTTGAATGTGGGGACTACTTATTAAGGACATCCTTGGGATATATGACTAGAAGTGGTGCCAAGTAGTTGCATCTCTGGGTCAATGGGTATGCACACATTAATTTGTATGACATACATTTCCATATTGCTTTTCAAAATGGTTGTACTGATTCATAATTACACAAACAATACACTAATGTGCCTCTCTTCCTATAACCCCTCCAACATAAACTATTACCATCTTTTGTCACATATGGCAATTTGCTGAGTGTGATATGAAATCTTAGGATAGTTTTAATTTGTATTTTTTTCTTATTATTAGTGATTTGAATCATTGTTTCATATGGTTGATAAGTTTGAAATTCTCTGGAGAACTGTTAATATCCTTTGACCACTTATGTATTGGAAAAGGGATGAATGAATAAAATATTTATTAAGCACTTACTATGTGCTAAGCACTGGAGTACAAATAGAAAAGTAATACTGTCCCTTCTCATAAGGAGCCCACATTCTAAAAGAAGAGACAAAATATACACAAGGTTCCAGCTCCAAGTCAGAGAGAAAGTCCCAGGGTCTTAAGACACAGGGGCAAAGTAGATGGTTTTATTTCTTTTTTTAATGTCATTTACATTGATGAAAATCGTTTCAGCTTCTGATGTTAAAATATTTGATAGTTCCAAGGATTCTGATGAACTTTCTTTTCTGGGTGTTCGATAGATGTGGCTGTATCACACTTAACAATTGCCAGGCTTCACCTCCCACAAGGTTTATTGCCAAGAATGACGGCAGAGGGCACTAAGCTGGAAGCATTGCTACTCCCAAGGCTCTTGGGTTCTGGGTCCTGGGCTGTCTTCCATCAGGATTCTGAGGGGAGATGGTAGCCAAGGTAATAGTTGTGGTTTGATCTGTTTGGCACATGCTGCATTCCTTTCTTTCTCTCAGAATGCCTTGCTGCCTCAGTTAGGCTGACTTGCCTGCCCTGTGAGTGGCAGTTTGTTGGTAGTTGATGGGGATGGCTCCTCCTTCACAGGATTTACTTTATAGGCAGTTAGGTGGCATAGTGAATACAGGGTTGGGCCCAGGATCAGGAAAACCTGAGTTCAAATCCAGCCTGACACTTATAAGCTGTGTGACACTGGGCAAGTCACTTAAACTCTATTTGCCTCAGTTTAAACTCAGTTTCCTCATCTTTAAAATGGGGATAATAACACTGACTTCCCTAGTTTGTTTTGAGGACCAAATGAGATAATCATTGTAAAATGCTCAAGATCACCACCTTCGGTTTGCTGTCTGGAGGATTTCAGCAACCAAACCCTGGAAGCTAGGTGGCACAGTCGATAAAGTACTGGACCTAGAGTCAGGAAGATATAAGTTCAAATCCAGCCTCAGATGCTTACTAGTGGTGTGATCCTGGGCAAGTTACTTAACCATTCTCAGTCTCGTCTCAGTTTCTTTATCTGTAAAATGGGGGTAATAATACTTACCTCTCAGGTTGTTGTGAAGATAAGTTGAGACAATATTTGTAAAGCACTCTGCAAACCTTGAAGTACTAGATAAATGCTGGCTACTATTGTTATATAGCTAGTGACAGTGTGGATTTGAGTACTGGGCCTCGGGTCCCATGGAAAACCTGAGTTCAAATCTGACCTAGGACATTTACTAGCTATGTGACTTTGAGTAAGTCACAATAACACTGTCGACTGCAGTTTCCTCATTTGTAAAATGTGGGAGTAAAAGCACCTACCTCCCAGAGTTGTGATGATCAAATGAGATACCTGTAATGCATTTAGCACAGTGCCTGGTATATAGTAGGCACTTAAAGGAGATTTTTTTTTCCTTCCTTTTCTGTTCTGAGGGACATTGCTACTCTTCAAGGTTCTTGGATTCAGCATCCTGGGCTATCTCCATCAGGGTGGAACTGGTGGTGGTTCCTGGCACATAGTAAGTGCTTAATTAATGTTTATTACCTAATTAACTGGTAGTTTGACTTATCTGGTAAAGAGGAAGGTGGTGCTTTCTTCAAAAGGAATAGTATTTTGATTATATATCTAGAGCTATTTATTTTTCTAGACATATACACATATATAAGAATATATGTATGTTA